GGGGTCGGCAGTTCACGTTGACCCCGCCCCCTCCAGTGAGATATAAAGAACCCGGCTGTTCGCGCTTAACTTCGTTCCCTCCTGGAAGACCCGCGAGCGTCTTCACCATGTCTTCCGAGTCGTCTACGGTTTTGGGTTACTGGGATATTCGCGGGGTGAGTCTCCCTGAACAGTCGAGCCACTTCGTCAAAAGACGGCCCCGGAGGTGGCGGGGGCTCGGGTCAGCGGTCTAAACCTAGAAGCCGCTTTACGTGGTGTACGCGGCCGGCCTTCCGCAGCGACCAACCTCAGTCCCGCTGCCCGGCCTCGGAGGCCGCCCTCGGCCCAGCCCCTGGGATTCCTTGGCCCTGCCCAGGTCGTATTTTGGGCCGGAATCTCTGTTTAACTACCGCCCCAGCAGGACGAAGCGCCGCCCGAGAGGCCGGGCCGGAGGACGTTGGCTGGCTGGGGTTGGGGTGGGGGTTGGTTTCTGGCCGGTGGATCTCGCGCAGGCGCTGACCACCTCGGGCTGTCTTCCCACAGCTGGCGCACGCCATCCGCCTGCTCCTGGAGTTCACTGATACGCCCTATGAGGAGAAGCGTTACACGTGCGGGGAAGGTAAAGTTGTTCTTGCGCCCTAGGCTAAGCTGGCCCTCCAACTTGGGGTTGTCCACCTAGGTGTTTTCCCTTTGTCCTGAACCAACCCCATCTTGATACTTAATAAATAGGCCGCAGAGACTAAAAGGTTAAATTGGAGAGGCGGGGAATTTGGGGTATTGAGAATCAGTCGCTTCTTTAGATCTTTTTACTCTTATCAGATGATAAGGTTATGAAAGAAGTTGGTTCCCACTTCTCTCTCCCTTACAGCTCCTGACTATGATCGAAGCCAGTGGCTGGATGTGAAATTCAAGCTAAACCTGGACTTTCCTAATGTAGGTTGATTTAAGAGAGAGGATAGAAGGGAAGACCTTCAAATATATACTCCGTCCCTTTCTGGTCTCAGAAAAATCTAGAATAGGGACTCTGAGTATGGATAGAATAGATAGAATTCAAGAGTCCTTAAAAACTACGTTTTCATTTCCACTAACCTTTAACAAACGTTAACATTTCCTCTGATTGTGAGAATAGGCAATAAAAGACATTAATAATTAGACTTTAATAGAAATCAGTTTTTATATTTTACTAAATGTGTTGTAGGTATTTTAAATGTTCTTTGTAGTCATCAGTACTCTGAAATTGTGGTAGTTACATCTGCTTGCTACTTACTGCATTAATAAGCACATATTACTCTATTACAGTTTTTCCTTAAAATGTTTTACAATTATGTGATATATATAATTAGCATTTAAAACCTATTTTGAGAAAGGCTCTGTGGTGCACACATACACAGATTTAAGAACCCTGTGCAGAATCAGTTGGGGACCCACTGCTACCTTCTACCCATCTTCTTTTTCCTAACACAAGACCTTGTCTCATTCACTATTTGCAAGTCTCCCTTCCCACAGGAGAGAGAAGTTGTTCATTGAGTCTGTCCTTTTCCTCACAGCTTCCTTACCTGATGGATGGCAAGAACAAAATCACCCAGAGCAATGCCATCTTGCGCTACATCGCTCGCAAGCACAACATGTGTGAGTGGGGTAGGGCTATAGAGGAAACTGGCCATTTGCTTACCTGGCATGGATGATCCCAAGGGCGATTTGTTGTCATTTGACCTACAGGTGGTGGTACTGAGGAAGAAAAGATTCGGGTGGACATAATGGAAAATCAAATAATGGATTTCCGCATGCAGCTGGTGCGTCTTTGCTACGACTCTGACCATGTAAGTTTTCATAGCAGGCATCAGCTAAGTGGGGGTATCAGGAAAAGAAGCAGTTAGGAAGTTAAAGGTTCTTTCTCCCTCTTTTTACTGTTGACTTCTTCCCACCAACCCAATCTCTAAGAATAGGAAACAGAACTCTTACTTTTGTTTGTTTTGTTCTGTAATTCAGGTGTTGACCTCTCACTCCTTTCCAAACCCCTTCTTCCCATTCTGCCACCCCCAAGCAAAGGCAATAAGAAGAAAGCACCTGGAGAGGTGCTGCGAAGTGTTCATCACTGGCCTGTGCCTTGATTAGCTATGTAGGTGATAACCGCTATTCTTGTTCTCTTTTTTCCTATCTCCCAGGAAAAACTGAAACCTCAGTACTTGGAACAGCTACCTGGACAATTAAAACAATTTTCCTTATTCCTGGGGAAGTACTCTTGGTTTGCAGGGGAAAAGGTAGGAAAAGAGAAAGGGAGATTTTACTTCACTATCCTTGTTAGGTGTTCATGAACTCCCAAGAACTGACCATCATATTGTCCTATCTCTAGCTCACCTTTGTGGACTTTCTCACCTATGATGTCTTAGATCAGAACCGTATATTTGAACCCAAGTGCCTGGATGAGTTCCCAAATCTGAAGGATTTCATGTGCCGCTTTGAGGTGATGATGCTACCTGTACTTTTCTCTTAGAGAAATACTCACAGGCTCCTCTAGACCCCAGTGGACTTCACTGTGGTAGATGCTTGCCCAACACTAGCTTTGGCCTAAATAATTCAATGGCTGGGAAGGGCCAACTTCTACACCCCCCAAAAATGGGGGAAAGGTAGAGGCAGGCAACATGTAAATGTTGCCATTTTGGTGTGGGCTTATTGGGCTGAGCTAGAGTTTGGTGTACTTATAAAGTTTGGTGTGCTTTTCCTTCAGGCTTTGGAGAAAATAGCTTCCTATCTGCAGTCTGACCGCTTCTTTAAGATGCCCATCCATAACAAGATGGCCAAATGGGGCAACAAGTCTATATGCTGAGCAAGAGACAGAACTGCACTGCTTTTGTTCTTCCTGGCCTGTCCCTAGGAGGCCTGTACTTCTCTGCTCTTTTCAATAAATAACACTTAACTTACTCGTGTTCAGCTAGATTTCTTTCGGGTGTAAAGGACAAAAAAAAAAAGTAATATAGAGAATGATCAAAATAGGAATTCAGTTACTGCAACATTCACATCCCTTTATTCCTCAACTAAGTTTAAGGGCTAGAAGTTTATCCCCAAGCCTTGAGAGTGGATGCTGGGAATAACACTACTTTTAAATAATAGATATTTTCAGTGGACATAGAACCGCCATGAAGACCTAGTGAAGAAATCAAGTAAAACTGCATAATATTGATGAACCTAATAACTGGAGTTCAGAAACAGACCCATCTATGTATAGAAATTTAGTGTGATAAAGATGGTGTCTCAAACTGACAGGATAGCCAGTAGAGTTAGGACAATGGATTACTAATTAAAAATCATAGAACCCAAAACTCATACCACTCACTCACTAAAGCTAATTTATCAGGAATTTAAGGCCCAGCACAAAACACAAAGCTGTTGAAGTACAAATATAAGGATGTTTGTGATCGTGGGGTAAGAAAAGTTTCTCTAACACATAAAAAGAAACCATGAAAGATTTACCAATCGAACAAGATTAAGTTTTAAGACTTCTATGATAAGCCACAAGTAAGGAAACTTCAATGAGATAAAAATAAGGGACTAGTATAACTAACTATAAATCATTAGGAGTTTAAAAGAATGAACAAAATCTATGAACAGTTACAAAAGAGAAATACCACACCTATGTCCCCAAAAAAGTTTTTAAAATCTCTATAACCCAAGGACCTGCACATTATAATAGTAAGGAGTCATTTTTCTATCTCTCAGATGAACAAAAATTAAGACATTTCAATAGTGTTGACAAGGATTGGGAAATGATAGCCATTTCCCGCTGGTAAACTTGTAAATTCATAAGGCTTTTTTGGAGGACAATTTGTCTTAATATTTAAAAATTCAAATCAGATCCTATAATTTAACAATTCCATTTCATAAAAGCTCATCCATATAACACTGTCATATGCTAAGATGTTCATTATAACATTGTGTGGACATATTAATGCCTAATTCTGCCATAATACCATATGGTAGTTAAAGGAGATTGAGCTCTATGAATTAACATGGAAGGATCTTCAAAATGCATTAGTTGAATTTCACATGCATTAGTTGGTAGATTAGTATGCACAGCATGACATCTTTTATGACTTGAAAAGGTATTTCTACAGATAATATTTACATAAGCAGATACACAGAAAAGGGTCTGGAGGGACACAACCAAACTGGTAATGGCTTCAGGCAAAGAGGAAGGAAGCCCAGACTCCATGAGTAACTTACAGGAGACTTGTGAGATTCAAATCTTTAGAGAATTTATATTCACACATTCACCACATTCACTAGTTTTAAGAAAGCAAATGACTCTTGTGGAGATTGACTTGGCATCATTCTCTCTACTATAAAGTCTTTCAGAAGTGTCCAGCCTCAAGAGAGTGATCTGCAGGTCAGAGTGCTGTCCCCTGTGCACCAGAAGTCAGGAATCTGGTGAGGGACAGAGGACCCAATGGCCTTGAGACATGTCAGGAGGGCCACCTCAAGAGAAGTACAAATGCAAAGTGTTAAGCAAATATTTCAGCTTCCACCTTTGTTGCCACTCCTACCAACACCAGTTAGGTGTCCAGGCCAATGTCTTGGGTCTGGGAAGCCTTTAGGCAGAAGAACTAAAGATGAGGTGTTTCTCCTTGGTATGATAACTGTAGACATGAATTTCCAGAGTGAGGAAATTGTGTGCCTTGTGGATTTAAGGGAAGCAAAAGAAGTTGAGGCTGCCTCTGGGACTAAATAGGTGATACAACCAGAAATCAAAGGAAATGTATTATTTATTGCTGTGTACTGATATTACTACAAATTTAGCAGCCTAAAACAACACATTTATCATCTCAGTTTCTATGAGCCAAGTCAACATAGCATTACTGGGTGCTGAGTTCAGTTCTCATTTGTAAGGAGTACTCAACTGTGT